AAAAAAGATCCCTAATGTCTAATCACTTAACCTTAAACTCGTTTTAAGTTATATACCTAAATACATACAATCATAAACACACATAACACACACCTAAAGAAAGGGGAAACTAAGCAAACAAAGAAAATTATCATAGAAAACCTTAATTAACTGGAATGCTAAGTGTCTGGATATTTTGGTTAGCTAAAAGTTAAACAGAAAACTTTTTGTTTCCAAAATCTGCTGATGACCATTCTAAAATGCATAAACCTACTATGCAGGTTTTCTACTAAGTATTACCTGGTTAAGAACTTTTACTTCAACACTTAATTGATGTTCCAAAACTTAGAACTTCAGAGTACTTAATGTTCATTGCAAAGTACTAGAAACAGAGAAAGTATTGAAGTAATTGGGATGACTATACTCTGACTCTAGACGCTGCTCAGGAAGTTAATCTTTTTAAGTAAAATATTATATGAAATCCTTTGCATTTCCATGTAAGAAAAAAGTAAATTATTTATAGGTTTAGTTTATTTGTGGTACGGCTAACTGAATTATATATATTTCAAGTATCTTACATGTTAATTAAATTACATGCACATTACAACCTTGCAATTCCCATAGATCCCATAAACAGTTAACTGGTTGTTATTACTGAAAATATACGAAACCATTGTTACCTTCCGATTGTGTATTTGAAGCTGGTAAGTTGTCTGGCTGATGTAGAAGAGAGTGGTGATGTTGGGGTTGATGGAGAGGATCAGAATCTTTGGATCCAAATGCAACAACATCTGGGGCATACGACGATAAGGAATACACACTGTGGGACACTTGTTCCTGGGTAGTTAAAATGCTGGCAGATCCAGATGATGAAGTATCAGAGCCAATAATCTGAGCTGCACAAGAACTTCCATTTTTAAACAGTGGGTCTTTCAAAGTATTCTTATTAGAACTAAGACATCGGGACCTAGCAAGAGGAGAATATAGTTTTAATATCAAATAACAAAGTACAGAATTAAATTCATTTGATATATGTTTCTGTGACTCACAGGTGTAAAGGAAAATGTGTGGTGGGTTTGGCTACAGAAAACTGTTTCCCTGTAACCATCTGTAGTAGCTGTCTGTAAATCTCTCTTTCTTCTTCTTGGACTGTCTAGAGAAAAAAAAGAAGAAATTTTAAACACATCCAATAAGGCAACTTTTTTCTCAAATCAGCATCTAGACTCCCAGAAGCTCTGCCAAAGTTAAGGCAGAGTCCTTCAAGATAATTAAGAATTATCATTAGGGATATCTAGAAAATTATAACAGGAATTAAATGAAGTAAATACCAGATATATTTTGGAAAATTATGGGACATATATGTAAATAATAGTGCAGAGAAACTATAGGATATGAAACCAGAAGGCCAATAGGCAATCACTTTTGAGTCAACTGAGACAGTCCCAGAAACAAAACATTTGAGGATTTCTCAATTAGGATTCCAAGAAACCCCATGATTCCTGACATCTACTAAAAAAGTCACAAGGAAGCAACTAGAATAGTCAAGATCAGAGTGGGATACCTTGCTGTTTTCTATCCTGTCCAATTTTAACATTGTTTAAGTATTTTCCAAAGATGGTTTTTATCTCAAATATTTACTCTTTTTTCCTAAACCCCAATAATAAGTTTAGGGAAAAGCACATACTCCATAATATTCATTCACTCGTGTATTGACTTGAATACCTACTAAGCACCACTCACTAGAGATACTGCACTGAATAAAGTAATATTCCTGTCCTTGTGGAGCTTATATTACAGTTAAAGGGACTGGCAAGCGAGACTAATCAAAAATTATGGAAAATGAAAATGAAAAAATAAAGACAAGGAAATAGAAAGTGATGGAGGGGAAATAGCAGCAACAGGTAAGACCCTTCTAAAAAGGTGATATTTCAATAGAAACCTAATCAAGGGAAGAGGTAAGTCATAGAAATTTATAAAAGACTATTCCAGGTAGAGGAATAGCAAATACAAATGCCCTGAAACAGGTATGTGCCTGATGCGTTCAAGGAAAAGTAAGGTCAGCGTGAATCAGAAGAGCAGTAAGAAATGAGGTCACTCAGCAGAGAATCAGATTACATAAGGACTTGTAACTATAGTAAAGCATCTATTCTATACTGATCCAGAGAAACAATGGGAAGCATTCACTAAATAATATACTCTGGTACTTAAAAAAAATCTTATACACAGTTTAATATAACCACCAATCTTCAAAAAATAACTTTAATACTTTGTGGCAAGGCTAGCAGCATCCTGCACTGTGACATTTCAATATGCACAGAAGCATTTTGCTAAAAATCGAATGAATTAAGCAATTATCTATGCAAAGGCAAACAGACACTAAGTTTTCTCTTCTTGATCACTGTTTCCTACATAGTAAATTTCAATTACATTGTCACTATAATGTTACTGTTCTAACAAGATTCACCTTGAACTATGAGGCATGAGTAAATAAATACTCCTTATGAAAAAGAGCTATCCTTAAATTTGAATAGATGAGTAATGAGAAAATTTGAATAGATGGGTAATAAGAAAATAAGTAGAATTAGTTGAGCATTTGGTGGAAAAATAGACCCGGAGGAAAAACAAATTGCAATTTTCTATATGAAGAAAATAAACTCCATTATTTTATCCTTTATACATTAATACTGTATTTAAGATGATGACATACTCTTTTCTAGTGTTTGTGAAGAGACTGTCTGCAGTACTGGACAGGCACTTCAGTGACAGCACAAAAATTATAATGTAGAAAAAGACCATTAACAGGTATACATTAATATCAATTACCAAATCTGCAGTTTCTAGCTATTCTACTGGGGAGGCCATGAGTATCTGAGAGATAAATTTGAAAACTGTAATTAAAATAAATGTCTTTTTTTATTAAAACCTACATTTGCTATCATAAAGGTTCTTTAAGTAGACAGTCTGAAGAATGAAGCATCATTACAATTATTTAGGTGTAAGAGATTGACAACCAACTACATAGTGATCTATACACAGGAAAGCTGTGTTATGTAGCACTTTCATGACTGAAATTTTTCAATACCTCCCAATGTAAATTCTGACTCCACTTTCCCACTATACCAAATAACCGAATTCATAATCCACAATACAATGGTGTTAACACGTTTTCAGGAGTGGTAAAATGGAGGGCATGAAGGGAAATCAGAAGAATAATACCACCTGGGTCATGGAAATTAACACTTTTTTAAAAAATTATTTTTACATTTATTTATTTTTGATAGAGAGAGACAGAGCACAAGTGGGGGAGGGGCAGAGAGAGAAGGAGACACAGAATCCGAAGCAGGCTCCAGGCTCCGAGCTGTCAGCCCAGAGCCTGATGTGGGGTTCGAACTCACAAACGGCGAGATCATGACCTGAGCTGAAGTTGGACGCTTAACCGACTGAGCCACCCAGATGCCCCTAAATTATTTTTAAAGTTTATTTATTTTGAGAGAGAGAGAGAGAGAGCACATGCATGTGAGGAGGGGCAGAGAGAGAGACAGAGAGAGAGGGAGAGAGAGAATCTCAAGCAGGCTACGTACTGTCAGTGCAGAGCCCAATGTGCCAAACTTGGACACTCTACCAACTGAGCCACCCAGGCACCCATAACTCTTAATTAACCAGTCATTTTAGTTCATTTCCACCTCCTTACTAAACTAGATTTTAAAAAGCTTTGACTGCATTATCACATCATAGGAAGGAGAATAAAGCAGATAAACTGGTGTAAGAGGTTACTTTGCACACCAAGGTGTAGAGAAACATCCCCATCCCATGAAGACTTCAAGAGCACACTGAGGACAGTGAAATAGAAAAGATCTTTGTTTGTGGTACCCTTCAACCTTCATAAACTGACTTCAACCCTATAAAATTAAAAATGCTTCTCTCTTCCCTCCCAACACATAGCAAAATGGTTTCTTGGAATAAGTTTTTATCCTTATAAATAAAACATGAAGAAACAAAGTGCCATTAAGTGACTCACCTAGATTAATTCAATGTAAGAACTGATTTTTTAAAATTAGTCTTCATTCTTTTTTTTTTATTTTTTATTTTTTAAAATTTACATCCAAATTAGTTACCATATAGTGAAACAATGATTTCAGGAGTAGATTCCTTAATGCCCCTTACCCATTTAGCCCATCCCTCCTCCTATAACCCCTCCAGTAACCCTCAGTTTAATGTAAGAACTGATTTTTAAAAGTCTATTAAACACACATAACTCACCCACAAATCATTTTCCCCAGTACATGTATCTTCAAAGAAAAGCTTCTGTCTAAGCCTGAACAACCTCACAGTTATTAGACAACATAAAATGAACAGGAATAGATGTTTTATATTCCAAACAATTATCTAAGGTCTCTTTAAGCCTCTAAATGTTAATTTAGAGGTCACAAGAATTTATCTTCTATTTAGAACCATTTCAGGCAAAGAAAAGATAGTCCATGCAACCTCAAAAGAACATATATGTAATATTTGACTTTTCCAAAAGAAAATCCAAAAAGGTAAGTCATTTGAAACTTCAAACACAATTCTTTTTTGGAGCATCTGGTATTACAAATAAAGTAAAAGAAAACATCCTTCTTTGTATATTACTTATTAAACTATTTCTACTGAGTAAGCAAATTATTAAATTAAGATGAAAGGAAGTAATAATTGGTAATATGTTAAAATAAAAGAAGCTGGATAATGTTATGTGTTAAACCTAATAAATGACCAAGGAAAGTTTCAAACAGTATAAAGGTAATTAAGGTGTTGGACTCTATTTTTAAAATATGTGCCAGATTCTGGTACTTAAATGCGTCTGTAAGAGGCTCCATCATAAACCTGAACTGTCTGTAAGATTATAAAAATTTAACAGAGAACACAAAATAAATTGTAGGAAACTGGTATAACTTTTTGTTACAAATTACTCAAAAAACTTCATAAATACTCCAATTTTGATTCTCTTTAAAGTAAAAGCTTTATACTATATAAACCTCAACTATCAAAGGTATATAATTCAACAACCTTCTGTTTTTAAGTCCAAAATTCTTGGTTATAACAAAATTGTAGGGGCGCCTGGGTGGCTCAGTCGGTTAAGCATCTGACTCTTGATTTCAGCTCAGGTCATGATCTCAGGATTTGTGGGTTTGAGCCCCACATCTGAAAGCACAGAGCCTGCTTGGGATTCAATCTCCCTCTCTCTCTACTCCTTCCCTTCTCTCTCTCAAAAAATAAATAAACATTTTTTAAAAAGCTTAAAAAAACCCCAGTATTGTAAAAGGTTTTGGGTTTTCTTATGAATAAAACCATCAGTGCTGTCTATTAAGAAAGACTGACATCTTAAAATGTTGCTCAGTATGTTGCAGAGAAGGATGTCTGGAAGCAACATATCAGTGAAAAGAAACTACATGTGTTTTTAACATTTTACATTTTTATTGTCCCTAGTATTTTCTCTTTCCCAAACAGAAATTCATTTCCTCTAAACAATGTTAACAGAACTCCCAGTTAAAATGGAAATACTCTACACTGTCCAGTATGGTACCCACTAGCAATATGTGGCTAATGAGTACTTGAAATGTGGCTAGTATGACTGAGAAAGGAAATTTTTAATTTATATTTATACATTTATTTATTTATATTACATATATAAATTATAATTTAATCTGAATTAATTTAAGTAGTGCATATGGCTAGTGGTTACCCTATTAGTACCGTTCTTTAATGATATCCCTGAATCAGCCTTCAGCCAAGTGGTGGTCTAGCCATCACTTACATATTTCCAAATTCTTCTTTATGTATTCTTTTTAAACTTCTATTGTAAGGCTGAACAATGCAGTGGTTAACATCATGTTAATTTTATAAATGACTTTATATTCCTGAAGGTGATAAATAAATCCAGCAGTAAGATTAATATCTAATTTTCCTTCCTTAACATAAGAAACTGTATCTCCCTTGGAGATCCCAACATTTCCATGGAAAATAATTTTTCCTTCAGTTTGTAAGCTCCCATCAGTAAATTCTTTATTCCCAAGGGAAGAAAAAGAATTATATTTTAATCCAGATTATCTAGTACTATCCAAGACTAAATATCTGAATAATCTGTTGATAGTTTAATAAAATTTGGTCCAATATTTTATTTTACTCGTATTATATGGGCAATCCCATATTCCTGTACTACGAGTGACTTGATTTTCATATCAGAATATAGACCTAAAAAACAAATGAGGCAAAATTTTCTGCATCTCGTTTCACAGAATAAATTCAATCTTTGGCATCTTCTTGACACTGTAGAAGGAAGAAAAACTCCACCTTCATGTCCTCCAATGGCCCACCCTGGACATTGGCCTAGAGGGTTGGTTGGAAGGATAAAATTATTCACCTAGCCCAAGTCCTCAGGCTGAAGGCAGAGGTGAAAGGAGGAGGGGCTGAGTGGTCCAAAGGACTGGTTAGCTAGTGGGATTACAACGAACGCACATAGGGGCGCCTAGGTGGCGCAGTCGTTGGGTTCATCACTTCAGTTGTCATGATTCATGGTCTACAGGCCTGGCCCCAGCATCAGGTTTCAGCTGTCGGCCAGGCTCTGGAGCCTCCATTCTGCCCCTTTCTCTGCCCTCCCGTTCATGCTCTGTCTCTCTCTGTCCCAAAAATAAATAAAAACGTTAAAAAAAAAAAATTAAAAAAAAAACAATGAACGCACATAGTCTTAAGGATCCTAGTGATCTCAGCAGCAGCCACCTGGGGCAGGGGAGGGTTGGGAAGCCAGTATCCAGCTGCCATGCTGCTGTCTCCTCCCCCACAAGTCTCTCTGTACCCCATAGGCTGCCTAGGATCCAGCAGAAGCACAGCCCCAGTAGTTAAAAAAATATGATTTATGTATGCAATAACTAATACATACATGGTGCTAAATTCAATAGTACAAAAGTGAAAAATAAATCTCTACTATTGCTCAGCTCTTATCACCAAAGGCAACTGCTGCCAGTTTCTTATCTATCCTTTACCTACTAAATATGACTTACTAGTTCTGCCACCCTCTGCTTGAATATTTTAGATTCAATACAAACTTAAAACCAAAAAAATGCACAGCATTTTTACTAACCATGTCACAAATAATCAAGTTCTGCCACTTAAACAATCATCATTAACAAATTATCTAGTTATTTGGCACATAGTGCTATATTCTTGACTCTCCAGTCTGTAAGCTCCAATGGGCTGGAGCCATACTGCTGGGTTGTATAATACAATGCATACCAGACAAGACTCCAAAAGACCTGGGTTGTAGGCTGGCTATTTACTGTGTGACCTCTCACCTTTACTCTCCTAATATGTAAAATGTGCATATCATCTCTACCTATTTCACAGCATTAAAATGACTCAACATAGTAATACATGTGGAAAGCATACTGGAAACTCTATATACAATATAAATGTAAGGTATTGTTATTTATTTGTATCTTCATAGCAAGCAGTCCAAAGCTGACTAGATGCATAGTATTTAACTTAACAGGTACAAGCACATTTCCTACCACATAAGTTATATGCTATATTATATTTACAGAATTGAATTTCTCCTTTAGGCTTACTGAATGCATATAACAACCAAAGTGTCAACAAAACATCTTTTTTGGGGGTAACATCTATGATCTCAAAGATCTTCTTACTCAATGAAGGGTTGTAAATTATTTAGCTGTCTTCTTGATTTTCTTCTTACACTAAGGGAAAATTGTCCTAATAAGAAATAAAGGCAGGTATTTCATCTAACCCAGCAAGATTAACAGTTTTGCCATATGAAACAAAAGTTGAGGAAGGGCCCAAAAAAAAAAAAAAAAAACAGAGATAGTTTGATATATGAGAACTCATTTAGGAAATACTGAAAAGTCTGCTGTCCAACAGGAATAGAGAAAATGATAAGAAAAATAATGAAGTCCTCCTAAAATCTAAATTAAGAAACAAAAAGCAGAAAAAGGACTAAGTGAACAGATGGTTAGTAAATGTCTGAATCAGAGGAACAAACGGCAGAATACAGGGAAAGATTCTAACCTTTAGCAGCGTTTGTCGCAGGTTTTCCTTACCTCTTCTGCTGTACTAACATGTCGCCTCTGAGTTTTCTTGGGGCTCAAGAGGTTTCGGCGACATGAACCACTCCAAGATGGACTTGGGACAGGCTTAATAGGAAAAGATTTTTCGTATGCAGACACATGGCAGTGATGATTTGCCTTTCCTGTAAAAGTGTTTGATAATCCACTAAAAAAAAAAAAAAAAAAGTTCATAAGAAAAAAACAGCAAGAAAATCCAACCTAGTGATTTTCACTTTCAAGAAATACCAAAAACAAAACACCAACAGGTAGAATAATGGATGTACCATTTGAGGGACATATACAAGAAATGATGCATGGGTTGCTGCACCAGGTTCTGCAACTTAAGAAGTCCTAGATTACCATACTACATAATTACCAAACATCTAAAATTGCATTTCTTAACTTTATAGTTCCTTTGGTCAGGAACCAAAGACCTGTGCAGTATGACAAAAAGTATATCAGGTCAGACTTCTTCAGTAAACTTGGGGTCTATATATCTTACACTTTCTATTTACTTCCTGCAACCCCCTCCCTCAAGCCCTTTGTGGGGAATTATTTATGCAAAGATGGATAAAGCTAAAGCCTCTCAAAGAAGCTTTTAAACTGAATTTTAGGGGCTCCTGGGTGGCTCAGTCGGTTGAGCCCCTGACTTCAGCTCAGGTCATGATCTCACGGTTAGTGAGTTTGAGCCCTGCGTCGGGCTCTGTGCTGACAGCTCAGAGCCTGGAACGTGCTTCGGATTCTGTGTCTCCCTCTCTCTCTGCCCCTCTCCTGCTTGTGCTCTGTCTCAAAAATGAATAAATGTTAAAAAAAAAAAAAAATCTAAACTGAATTTTAAAATTTCCTAAAAAGCCAACAGAGGGCTCCCATCCTTCATTAAAAACAACCAGAAGGCTTTCTTTTAGGCTGCATCGCTCTCTGCCAATTCTCCTTCTGGCCTATTTACCTCCTCTGAAGGAGAATTTTTTTGTTTCTTTAAACTGTTTGTGCCCCCAAATAAAGGAAAACACTGGCAGGAAAAGTGCTTTTGTGAACTTAAAGCCCAGTCTTATCTCTAAGACTTGATTAATAATTTAAAGTTCTTTCTACGTGGTCTTTTTCATCTATTATTACCCAGTAAGTATAAGGTACTTGCTCTTAGCATACTGAATTTTCTTTCTTTTTCTTTTTTTTTTTGCTGAGGATGCAGAATACACAGCTGACTAAGCTGAATTCAATGAAAACAACTCTTTAAATCAGTACAATTAGTCTGGATCCAAATGAAATCAGACTAGTCTAAAGAAAATCAAAAAGCACTTACATGCTCTCTCAAAGGGAAAAAAAAAAGAGACAAATCAAGAAACGGCCTCTTAATTATACAGAACAAACAGATGGGTATCATAGGGGAGGTGGTGGAAGCATGGGTGAAATAGGTAATGGAGACCAAGGAATACAATTCTCATGAGCACTGGATGTTGTATGGAAATGCTGAATCACTACATTGTACACCTGGAACTAACATAATACTGTATGTTAACTGGAATTAAAAACTTAAAAAAAAAAAAGCACTTACATGCTCTGCCTCTAACTCTTCAAATTATAATGGTTTCTATGTGTGTTAGAGTGGGGAAAGGAACAAGGACTCAGAATTTTGGGAATAGGCCTTAGGATGGGTGGATGCAGCTACAAAAAGAAAGGCAAGTATAATTGGCTTGGTGAAGATATAATGAATTCTTCACAATGTCTTTTTTATTGATGCTTCCTAGAGTGTGTGTGTGTTTAATGCAAAAGATTTATTTTCTAAACAAAAAAACAGTGGGAGAACATCTTGCAATGCCAGAGAGCAAGGATGCTTCCAACAATTAATGAGGTTGGGCCAGACACAGCAGTAAGCTTGAAAGAACTCCCACTGGATAAAGCTGTGAGAATGTGAATATTACAAGAATAATGACGGTGGTAGATTGAAACACACTGAATCTGTAATGACATTAAAAAAGAAAAGAAAAATTCCTCTGAACCACATGAAGTGGCTATTAAAAAAAAAACAAAAAAACCTCACTTTGAAAATTGGTAATGGAAAAGAAGATCTAATCGTATATCCTGCCTTCCCAGTAGATGTATCTTAAGGTAACCAAACAACCCTATCTACTGAGAAAAAAAAGCTCTCCTTCACAGCAGAGTGACAATAAGCGTAGAAGAAATGATAACACTGGAAAAGTATTATTTCATTAACTCTAATACAATTATTATCAGGCCAAAGAAGGTGAAAAGATACAAATTTCCAAGTTCTAAGTAAGTTCTGGGGATGTAATGCACAGCATGATGACTATAATTAATACCATATTACATATTTAAAAGTTGTTGAGAGGTCTTAAAAGTTCTTATCACAGGAAAAAATAATTTTGTAACTATGTATGGTGATAGATGTTAAGTAGACTTACTATGGTGATCATTTTTTTTTTTTTTTAAACTTTTATTTACTTTTGAAACAGAGAGAGAGCATGAATCGGGGAGGGTCAGAGAGAGAGAGGGAGACACAGAATCTGAAACAGGCCCCAGGCTCTGAGCTGTCAGCACAGAGCCCGACGCGGGGCTCGAACTCACAAACCGTGAGATCATGACCTGAGCCGAAGTCGGACGCTTAACCGACTGAGCCACCCAGGCGCCCCACTATGGTGATCATTTTGCAATACATACAAATACTGAATCATTATGTTTATATACCTGAAACTAATATAATGTGATATGTCAAATATACCTCAATTTAAAAAAATTATCAGATAACAATTATCAATTGATGTGAATAACTATTAGGCTGATACGAAACTGGTCATTGATAGAACACCAAAGTAACATCATTTACATCAGTTATATTCTAGTCACAAGGGGGAATACCTAACTGTACTAAAGGACCAGACTGTTACCTCTCTACTCCAGAATCACTAATGATAGGAGAACCAGATTTAGAGGTTTTCTAATGTGATGTAACACATCACTAGTTTTTATTGAAGACAAAAATCTAGTTTACAAAAAAATACAGAGGATAAATGACAAAATAATACTATGAAGAAGAAACCTGTCAAATCCAAAGGGTGGAACACTATGTATAAAGGTCATGTCATAAGAAAAAAAGGGGTTTTCCAGATTGTAAGAGACTTAAAGGCAATAACCACCAGATGCAATCCTAGATTATATACTGGTTTGGACAAAGAAGCCATAAAGGATATTTTGGGTCAACTAGGAAAATTTAAATACAGTTTAGTGTACAAGACAAATTTACTGAATGGAAAAGATGTGATTGACTTAAAAAGCAGATTATTATAAAAGTATGCACAGTATGAATTCATGTTTGAAAAAATGTGTATAAATGCAGAGCAAAACATCTGGAAGGAAATATACTAAGATATTACAGAGGTGATCTTTAACTGGTGGAAACATGATGTTTTTATTTTTTATTTTTACCTATCTGTATTTTCTGATTTTTCACAAAGCACATGTACTTGTTTCTATAATAATGTTATTTTTAAAAATAACAGTATAGTCTTACTGAGTAAAAAAAGCAACTTGCCAAATGATGCATATAGAAAATCTTTAATGAAGAGAAAATAACATTATACATTTCATAGTACACATGCATATATCTCACGCTATATAAGAGCAAAAGAGAAACAAACATAGGGAAAGGTGTGGATGGAAATACACCAAGGGGAGGGGAATAAAATTGTGAGCAGTGGCCAAGGGATCTTCGGCTTTTTTGGCAATGTTTTAATTTTTACAATGTGAATGCATTAATGAATTCTTGTGTAATTAAAAAAAATAAGGAGTGGAGAAGACTATCCCTGGGAGTATTGACACATGTTTCCAGAGTCCATGTGCTGATAATCATAAAATAAAAGCCATCTCGCTGGTTTCTATCAATGCCAGCAAGCTTAGCTTTAACTAAGCAGGAAATTAAATGATACCATATTCCTAAAATCCATCACTAGAGTAAAATTTAAGAAATCATAAATACCATTTTAAAAAAGAAATATTTTACTAATAAAGTTCTTGAGGGAAACCTTTATAAGCTTAGTGAGGGAATAGGTAGTGCTTATGAAATTGGGCTGAAAGGATAGAGCCCTGAGGCCATGGGGTGCAGAGTTTCTTTGGTTTGAGCCAGGTCTCTGCTCATGTGAAAGCCTATACAAATGCGCTGATTTCTTTGCTACTGAAGTCGTAGAAATTGAACGACTTCCACGTTAAGATTCATAATAGCCATATTAATCCCAAAATAAATACTCATTCATATGCACCAAGATTTCCCTCAAAACTCTCCTCTAATGAGAAGCTTTGGATGTCACCAAAATTCAGCACCAATTAAAAGTTGAAAGTTTAAAACACATTTGTCCATATTTTCATGGTTTAAAGTTCAGAAATGGTGATACACCCTTAAAATGCCAATGTTAACAACTATCTTATGGCCATTTTCTCTTATACCAGAGGAAAGACTTGTGAACTAAGCAGCCAGAATACCTACCTTGAGGTCTTTCGGGTTTCGAGGTAAAGACTTCGGCTGTTTCTTGATTTTTGTAAAGTTGAACCTGATGCTGGAGTGGAATTTCTCCACTGGCCATTTGCACTCTGGCCAAAGGTTCTTAAATCTCCTGAGCCAAGAAAACTGTCTGAGGAAGGGTTGTCTAAAAGAATAAAAGTTTGAATAATTAGACAAATACCGACAGTAGTAGTTTTCCATATGACTGCAACCATGTCCAACATTGTATTCCAAAGTAATGTGGCATAGCACCATGTCTCTCATGGAAGAAAGATCCCAGTCTCAACTGCCAGTAAAGTCTGCAGTAAGGGAACTTCTACAAACTATAATTGATTCAGCCATACTAACCTGAAAATTGATGAAGGAGCTGAATCCTGCCACAGCCATGTGCCTTATCTGCATCAATGTGACTCCGTGGTGTCCACCAAAAGTCAACATTTTACCCCAACTATATCTTGCAAGCACTCCCAGGCCTGGGCCTGAAAGAAGGTAGGCCAGACCAGTAAGAAAGCAGGTGGAGGGCCAAGGAGAATTGTAATTCAAATGAACAACAGTTATTGCTTAATAAGCAGCTGGTGTCACTTTGTTTTTAATTACCATGTTCACGACTCAGGGGCTCTCTCTAAGAGCAGAGATAACCTCATTGCTGCTTATTCTGGCTGGCTTATGGCAGGAATGACCCATCATATGCATCTGGTTCTGGTATGATTATCTTCAGTCACTTAATGTCATAATCATCAGACATATCAATACTCCCTCCAATGCGTGATATTGCAATCAGACTAAGTAAGAATTATATTTGAATCTTCTGACTTGTGGCTTACAGGCTGGGGTAAGAAAAGTTTCTTGAAATTTCACCTAGGACTAGAATAATTTCTAAACCTACCTCTCCCTATCAGCAGGATCAGACAACTTAAAACAGCACCTTCAAAATAACTTCAGATATTAGGTTATGGAACTCTGAGGAACACCAGTGGAAAATTGAGAATGATAATTGTCTACTTCTTGAATTTTTGCCTAATGTGGACATCATTTTGAAGACCTTTCAAAGCGAATTACCACAGAATTCTGCACAATATTATGTTATTTCAAATATTTAATGTAGCTCTTGATACTGTATCCAAAAAATAGACCAGGTGACAAAAATAAGTTTGTATTGCAGGTTTGTTTTTGTTTTGTTTTGTTTTGTTAGGATCAGGAATATCGGCATTTAGGATGAATAAGACAGGAAAAACAGCAGTGGTCAAGGGTGGTGTTAGTACCAGTTGATCCACCAGTGGATGAACCTAATCTAAAATTATATTTACTTTCAAAATGAATTATAACCTTTTACCTTTGTAATCAGTATCTATGCATAACATCTATCACTGTTACTTTAAGGAGAGAAACATAAGACTAATAAAAATGAGTATTATTAAAGGCCAGAACATTTTTATCTTTAAATGCAAAGTAATAACAGTAGAAATCTGCCTCTCACACGTTTTGCTACAATATGATTAGGGAATGATTTGCCTAGAGATGTCTACTTAAGGAATAAGTCTACCAAAAAATGCAAAATTACCCTGACAAGTGTGAAATTTGAGACCAAGGAGAAGCCAGAGTAGCCTCCTCAATGGCATTTGACAAAGGCTTCGGCTTTCAAATGCAAGGGGAAAGCACAGGATCAGGCAGTCTGTTTAACCAGAACAAGGTGGTTCTATCCCCACTCAATGAAAGCAATGAATAGTCCAGTATTGCTGATGTAATCAAGCAGCGATAGAGAGGGACCAACATAGGGCTGCAGACACTCTCTTTTTGGTGTTGGTTTAGCCTGGTATTCTGTCATCATTAAGAGATCAGATTGCAAATGCCACAATTAAGATTACTTATTATGTGCACATACACACACAAAACTATAAGGAAATACACCAAAAATTTAATTTTAGTTGTGTTCCAATAACAGAATGATAGGTATTTTTCTACTTTCTCTACAAATTTTCTACAAGGACAAGGCAATATTTTATGAACATAATGAAATAAAATCTTATATTTTAAAAAATGTAGATCAAGGGGCGCCTGGGTGGCGCAGTCGGTTAAGCGTCCGACTTCAGCCAGGTCACGATCTCGTGGTCCGGGAGTTCGAGCCCCGCGTCAGGCTCTGGGCTGATGGCTCAGAGCCTGGAGCCTGTTTCCGATTCTGTGTCTCCCTCTCTCTCTGCCCCTCCCCCGTTCATGCTCTGTCTCTCTCTGTCCCAAAAATAAATAAACGTTGAAAAAAAAAATTAAAAAAAAAAAAAATGTAGATCAAGCAATCACTACTATGAAAGTAACCATCATCAGTTGCTCTTGTTAATTTTCAGGTTTATTTAGTTATAAATAGCAGGATGCTTTAAATTATCTACTAAATGCCAGTGTGGCAACCTAGTTTAACATATTTTCCAAAGATAAGACATTGATAATGACTCTAAGCTTGAGCAAAATCATTTCTTTTCATCTTTATCTACTTTTCTTTGTTTAGGGTTTAAAATGTTTTAATTTTCTTTTGTGTTCTTAATAATAAACACAATAAATTGTGTTCTTAATAAAATCAAGAGCTCTTGAAGTCTGAGCAACATTAAGTTATTAACGGAAAGATTTACATTTTCTCTGCTTTCTAAAAATGATTTTTTTAAATCAATGTTTTTAAATAGGTTAATCTTGAGTGGATTAAGAAGCAGATTTTTTAAAAGCTTGATATAGAGAGGCAGAGCCAGTAAAGCAGTAAATGGTAAGCTCCAGACCCTAGATTCTAAAGTTTTGGGGCTTTCCCATGTTCTTTTTCACCTTGATGGAAAAGAGAATAGAGTCAGAATGAAAGGCTGAGAGAGTCAGAATGAAAAGACTAAAGCAGTAAATGGGATACCCACATCTAGTTCAATCAAGCAGTGAAGCTCATGGTGACTGACCACAGAAATTAATGTGGGGATTATTGGAAAAGAATACAAAAGAGATACAAAAGAGATAGTAGAGACAAAATTCTGCAGGATTTAAAATCAATTGGAATGGGTGTGGCAGGAGAACGAAATGAGGAAAAGTACACAATAAAAAGTAGGTTTGATTTGAACGTTTTATTACAAGAAAAAAGTATATAACTCTTAGCCTTCACAGATTAAAAATTCTGATGGTCAGAGAGCAACCCTGGAGGTCTGTGACATGCCATACCTTTGCTTGGTCAGGGATTAGATGAAATTTGGTAGGCACAAATCTGAATCCTCTGCTTCACACTTTAATTTAGAGAATGAATCTAATAGTTCAGCATCCCCATTTCAACATGGCTGTTGTTATTTGTTATTCATCACATATACAGTAACTGTTATGAAGTTATTTTTTTGCTTTTCCTAAAAAAAATGGCCTTCAAGCGACAGAGAAAAACTTCAGTGTAAGATTTTGATACGAGGATCAATTTATGGTATGAGGACAAACAGGAAAAATCTAACTTTCAAGAATCATGTCACTGAGTACAAAGCTAATAATCTGGCCAAATATCACCACAGTCAAGAACATGAGGATTTGAGATAATCTCAAATATATCCTTTGTGAATATTAAGGGTCTAATGAAATTTAGAAGAAAAAAGGCTATATACAGGGGTGCCTGGGTGGCTCAGTCGGTTAAGCTTCCAACTTTGGCTCAGGTTATGATCTCATGGTTTACGGGTTTGAGCCCCACATTGGGCCCTGCACTGACAGCTCTGAGCCTGGAGCCTGTTTCAGATTCTGTCTCTCTCTCTCTGCCCCTCCCCTGCTCATGCTCTGTCTCTCAAAAATAAATTAATATTAAAAAATTTTTTTAAAAAAGAAAAAAAGCTATACATACAGATGTTTTTAAGTCATATTATTTACAATAGCTAAAAACAGTAAGTGTGAAGGGGACCTAAACTATAGGGAAAATAATGAAGCAAATGATTGCATGGGCCCATTATCCTAACTCATAGCCCCTCGGGTCCCACTGCGTTTCTGAATTTAAAATTTTTGGAATTTTAGAGAGATATCCTGGTATATACTATGGTAGCACTTCAAGGTATAATCTGAAGCTGCACCCTGTAATCAAACATATTGATGGATCTGCAGTGAAATGTGTGGTGATATATCTGCAGTGAAATAAATACTCATATTTATAGATAAATAAAAGACATAAACAGCTTCAGGTCAATTCATGTAGGTTTTGCCAAGGAATTAATTCAGGTCAGGTCACTTTTGATACCAAATGAATTAAGAAAATAATTTTTGGTTTTCAGAGCTTTTTGGATTTTAGAAATGTACATAAAGTATTGTGAATGTGCATATCAGTTCCATGGATTATTAGAAATGAGCATAAAAAGGTAGATACAAAGAATAACATGTAAACAGATGGAAAAGTAAAAATAAAAATATATGGGCTAAAAAAGATTACATGTATTGAATCATACAAGCATGTACACAGATAAAAATTAGAAAAGGCCAGAGTTGAGTTGTTATGGTCAGCAGATTTTGAGTATAATTTCATGTAACTGTTTATTATTAAGCAATTATTTTAAACTACAAGCAAATATTCTACCCAATGTTAAATCAACATATGAAATCACAAGCAAACACAGCCTGAGTTCAAATTGAAATACTAATGATCTCATTTCATTAATGATCTCATTTCATTATCCACTCAACTGTCCTTCCCCTAGAATGAGCTGTCCAACCAGATTTCAGGCTCTCTGCTCATCAGAAAGGCCTTTCCAATAATAATGATGGCAGAGTTACTTTCTGAGCCAGTTAACTGATTTTTCCATACAAATTATGCACACCCTATGTGGAGACCATTTCCCATACCAGGAGAGGAAATCCAGAGCCCAGGGTAAAGTACCACCCACCTAAATGACATTTAAATATAATATAAATCTAAAAGATCATCATACTAACGTCTTTTTAGGGGAGGAGATCTCATCTTGCTGACAAAGAATCCTGAGGAAGCCAAATAACAATAATTATTATTTGCATTTCATATTTATAATCTCAATTTATCCTTATAAAAATCCCATTAGGGCAGGTTCAATGGTATTACTAGTATTCCCATATTTGCAGTAAGGTGAGGAGATTGAAGAATTAGTAGTGAAAAGACATGGGAAGACCACCATCATCTTCCTGGGTTGTAGTGCCAGGAAGCTAACCAACAAAAACCTCTTAGTTTCCCCAAGACAGAGCCAGAAGATAACTGTAAGTCCTAACCTTAGGAAGGGGGCAGATGGAAAGTCAGGCAGGCCAAGGACTAGGAATAGCCTAGAGAATGCGGACTTCTGTCATGGATCACAAGCTGAATAGGCAAGCCCTTGAATATGCAAGCATGGCTGTGGCAGGTGCTAGACAGAAACATATAGTTAACATTTCCTGCCCTGATGGAGGGACAAGCTTGTGTAGAAATAATTTTTTAGGATTCATGATTTCAAGCAAAATAAATAGGCTAGCTCTGTGCTTTAAATCCATCCAAAACAAATATCCTTTACATCATATATGCATATTTAAAAAAAAAAAAAGCCAAAACCAAAGCTGTACTGCTTTTCACAATGACATAATGAACAAGTAAGGAAATGGATTAAAAAAAAAAAACTTTTCCATTAAAAATATGTGGTTTGAGACTAAGTCAGTAAAGTATTATAGCAATGCTCCTTCCCCATTCACACACACAGTGATGTTTTATGGGAGAAAATACAATTTTGCTCTTGACAATGTTTTCACTTTGAGATAGTAAACACAAACAATTTGCTAGGAAGAAATCTGAATGGTATAAATGCCTTGACTCCAAGCAATGCGTCATACCTGAATAATAATTTGGATTATAAGCTGCACTTCTTGTAGAACATGTATAAGATCGGTCCAAATTTCCTTCCCTGGAAGGTAATATCTAAACAAAGCAAAAGATTTTTTGTAAATCATATTTTTACAATAAAATGGGATAAAAATTTATACTAGGAAAAATGTACCATTAAACAAGATTATGACATATTTCAAAATTCAATATAATTGTATTTTTATATACTATAAATAAACTACGTACTAATAAGAAAGAAAAATACATAAACAGTTTGATGGAACTACTGAGGCTTCAAGGGGAAAAATGGGCAAAGTATCTGTTACACAACTTAATGCAAAGGATGTTCACTAGAAGGTAAACGTGCATGTGGTATATCCTGTTCTGCAAGCCAGCTGTATCATTTATCAAAGGGGGTGACAAAATGTACCTGTTTGGAATCTTTTGATAACTTCATACAGAAGTTCTTAATCGGGGGTGGGTACTGCACCCCAGTACCAATCTGGAAATGTGTGGATATATATTCAGTTAAATTATTAAAAATGATTATTGGGGGCAGATACTACAGGTATTTAGTGCCCAAGTGTCAAGAATGCTAAACATTCTGCTATGCTTGGAAGAGATTCACACAGCAAAGAATTGTCTCATCCATATTAGTAATGGCTTTCCTACTGAGAAAAACTGCTTTATTACTCAAACCTTAATGTGCAAATAAACCAGCTGAAGATTTTTTTCCTTTTTAAAAAAAAGTATTCATTTTAGTTCCAGGTGTACACAATTATCCAACTTTTCTATGTGTTATGCTATACTCACCACAAATCTAGCTACCATCTGTCACGCTATATTCCCTACGCTGTGCCTTTTATTTCTGTGACTTATTCATTCCATAACTGGAAGCCTCTATCTCCCACTCACCGTCACCCATTTTGCTCCACTCCCCTCTCTACAACCATCAGTTTGTTCTCTGTATTTATAGATCTTATTCTGTTATTTGTTTATTCATTTATTTGTTTTGTTTTTTAGATTCCGCACGTGAGCTAAATCATATTTGTCTTTCTCAGTCTTATTTCACTTAGCATAATATTCTCTAGGTCTATCCATGCTATTACAAATGGCAAGATCTCATCCTTTTTAAATGCTATATAATATTACATTTGTATATGTATACCATTCATCTATCAATGGACATTTAGGTTGCTTCCATATTTTGGCTATTGTAAATAACGCTGCAATAAACACAGGGGTGCATACATCTTTTTAATTTAGTGTTTTCATTTTCTTTGGGTAAATACCCAGTAGAGGAATTACTGGATCACATGGTATTTCTCTTTATCAGATAAAAAGTTTTAAAACTGTAGATTCTGACTGAGGAGGTCTGAGGTGAAGCCTGAGATTCCGTATTTCTAACAAGCTCCCAAGGGATGCTGTTGTTGCTGGTCCTTTGAGAAACTACACTTTTTATAGCACTGGGAAATCTCAGAGCCTCTGAATATTTACAAATTACCCATTTAATCCCAACAATTTTAAGACACTAGTTTAAAAGAACACTGACCTGTGTTTTCGTGATTATAATATGCATAGGAATAAAATGTTTTCTAAAATAAACAGTTCTCAAAGAACTCATACATAGCCTGGTTCTTGTTTTAACTTTAATATATCAAACAAAATTCAGAACACCAGAAATACCAATTCTAAGAAGTTTATATATACATTCGTCCTTTTGAGTATGGCATTTAAATTACATTAGATGAAAACTGAAACCAAAATAATTCATTAAATAAGGGAAGAAAATTATTCCTAACCTGATGGTCAGAAAGTGAAAGCTGGTCCTCTGGAAAACCTGTTTGTCCCAGGAGATGGGTTTTGAATATGGAGTTGTGGTTCACTAACGTTACTTCTCCAGCATCCATCCTCATCCTATCAGCAATATCATCTGCGAAAAGAATCCAAAATTAGTTCAAGTCATATAATTCTTCAATAACTACTTTCCTATGAACAAATCTTTTCACCTAATAAAAATGATTCCCAAAGAACAGCTCTATAGTCAAATAAAACCTCTTTCATAACTAACCATTGGCCAGCAATCTCAAAATGTCATTGTCAAAAAGAGGCCCATGTGCAGAAATTGGCTCATTTGGAATTGACTGAGATCATCTGCCAAACAGTTCAAAACCTGTACAAGTATTTAAAAAAAAAACAAAACCACATTTAATTCAAAGTTTCTTTAAAAAATTAAATTTTCCCCAAAGAAATGTTGAATGTTTTAACTAGAAAAGAAGTAACTACTTAAAAAAAAAAAAACAACACACACACACAGGGAAAAAAACTCATCATTCAAAAACAAACATTCAAAAACAGTTCATAACTGTTTATTTCCTTTGTCTAACTCAAAAAGTGCTTAAAAATGAATCCACCTGAACTGACTTTTCTGCAAAAAGTATAATGTATACATATGGCTCTTGACAGATACCAGCTCAATTACTATAATACTGTGGCAGAACCTTACTTTATAACCATCTTTGAGACCTTTGTTAATGTAAGAGAATAGAAGCAAATGAGAGTGACAGAATTCAGTGACTTATACTGACATCAGCAATTAGAGAAAAGGGAAACAAATGACCAGGTAAGAGAGACAGTAGACTAAGCAAAAGGAAAAAACAGAAACGAGAGAAGACTAATGTGAATCTAAAAGGAGCACATGAGATGTTATAAGATGTGTAAGATCTAACTGTATAGACTGTTCAACCTATTCCTAATTGGCTACTAGTCCTGACCTTGTATCGATCCCCTTTCTAGACATGAAGAACTATGAATAATGCAAAATGTTGCATTCATAGTGAATTCTCAATGTTACCAGCTAAGTGAAATTTTAAAATTTACCCTAATCAAATTATTTATCACATAGATGGTGGTATAACATAGTACAAAAGAACCGGGACTCTGAAACCAGGCTGCCTGAATTTATATTCTGGCTCTGCCAGTTATAGTTGTTTCTTAACTTCTGTGTCTCACTTTCCTTGTTGATATTAAACACCCTTGTAAGACAGTTGTAAAAAATTAAATGAATTAATATATTTTAAGTACTCAGAATAGGGCCTGGCACATAGTAAATGTTTGCTAGTGTGTATTTGGCTTTTTCAATACAATGAATGAGAAAATGGTTCCAAATGATGCTATAAACAATGTCTCAACCAAGAGTATTGTCTAGTATTACAGTATTACATAATTAAGTTGAGATCTCTCAAGATTATTATTAAGCACAAAGATGCAAATACTGAAAATGTTAAAAACAAAACAAAACAACAACATTTTTTCATTCCAACCTAACTAATCAGAGTAACTAAAAGACTCAATTACTACTTCAGAGTTAGACTTACCCATGTCAGGTCTTTTCACATCACTGACTTTAGCAAAGATACAAAGTTCTATAAAAGAAGACAGAAAACGGAAATGTGACATACTGGAACACCTCTTTCATACAATTACAGAATAGGAAGCCATTCAAAGTGACATTTGTGTTCTTAGGAAAGGAAAATATAAAATGGTAAGAAGAGATGACTTGAAAGAGAAAACAGACACTAAAACTAACCGGAGGCAATTTGAAACATTTCCAGAACCCGAGCTGTATTAGACAGCAATTACAGACTACCCACAGAATGACAGAACATTACAGCAAGAAGCAAGTTGGGAGTGCCAAACCTTAAAGATTGATTTGTATATATATGGTCATAAAGTTAGTGACTGAACTGAAATTACAACCTGGAAATTCTTCACAAACTGTTCCTTTATTACCTCATGCTAAACCATTTAATTAAAAAGTGATAGATCTTGTGGTGGTCCTATTAGACTTCTTTTCTACAAGTTTTACTCAGTGGCCAAACATAAAGCTACTGACACTCTAAGAACAATCAAGGAATATTTCCCAATTGTACTAAAGTACTTTCTCTGCCATCAATTAAACTGCTACAAACCAAAGCCCCTTTACCTACATGAAATTTTCTCCTCCGATGTATCCAATTTTCCCAGAAAAAGAAAGTTAGAAGCCTAACTGCGTGGAACTAGGTTAATAAACATGTCCTTGGCACCCAAGCTTCTTGGCAGATTGAAGAGGAGACTAGGGATGGTAGCAGTCACACTTATTACCGTCATAATCTCATTACCAAATTTTTAAAGTTTATTTATTTTTTTGAGAAAGAGTCCACATGCATGCATGCAAAAGCAGGAGAGGGGCAGGGAGACAGAAAGAATCCAGAGCAGCCTCCATGCCCAGCACAGAGCCCAAGGCAGGGCTCGATCTCAGGACTCTGAGATGACCTGAGCTGAAATCAAGAGTCAGTCGCTTAACCAACTGAGCCACCCAGACGCCCCACCATATTTTAAAAAGATTGAGCATATCATCAACTTTAGTTTGTCATCAACCTTATCAATCAACTTCATCAACTTTAGCAATATCAGGGCTTCAATCTACTAAGGGCTAGATGATGATAACAGGTATTCCTTATGGTCACAATAATGAAATGCAGGCACAAAGGAAGCCTGCTTAAGCTTTTCTTGGCATAGCTACAGACTAAGCAGAGCAATCATCTGATTACCCAGTCTTGCTGGGGAGGGTTCCCAAAGAATTTAAGCCTTATATTCAGGCTTCAAATATATTTCCAAATGCTCAACGTAACAGAAGGCTTCTATCTGGAAATTTTCCAGGTATTCTTTCCTCTTCTTCCTTTTTAAATAAAGCAGAATCCCCTGGGTTCCACATTAATAATTAAAGCCCCACATTTACATTGTAACACAAATGCATCCAGCTTCTTCAGTGTGCTTATGTTACTTTCTCTTCGGCATTTGCCTTTATGTTAGAAGTAGGGATATCTTACTCCAAGATTCTGGAAACGTTAATGCCACCAAACTCTTGTAACCCTAAGATTTTTTTGCCTTTTAAGAAAAGTCTTCCGGGGTGCCTGGATGGCTCAGTCAGTTAAGTGTCAGACTCCTGATCTCGGCTCAGGTCATGGTCTCACGGTTTGTGAGGCTCTACGCTGAAAGTGCAAAGCCTGCTTGAGATTCTCTCTCTCCCCCTCTCTCTCTCTGTCCCTTTTCAGCTCATGTGCTCTCTCTCTCTCTCAAAAATAAACTTTTTAAAAAAGTATTCAAACAATATTTCCTAGTTCACACATTGTTCATTTAATTTACTAAAAGAATATAAGCTATTACAGCTACTCAGGTGAAGTCAATAGCTGAACACAAAACAACAGGAAATTTGAAAGAAAAAAAAAGATGGCGAAGTCCTTACAGTAACAAAATGTAACAAGTATGGCAAAACATGTATAAGCTTACATGCAAACAGGTGACTGTAAAAGAGAATGTCTAGAGCCACAATGAAGTTACTAGAAAGTATTTACTTGAGGAGAGGTGATTAGCTTTATCCAGGACCAAATGCGGTTAGAATAATTTATGATATGAGAAGGGAATGGAAATATGGAAATGACCAAGTGAATCATTCTAGTCTGAACTCTGGATATGTATATGGTACCGTTCGTAGTATACACCACGTATTTGCTTGTGTTTCTCGTATTTTCACATGCCATCTCTCCCAGTTAGACTCTAACACCTCAACACTGTAACGCCTTAAAACACTGAGTATTCAATTCTTTTCATACACAAACATTTACTCTGCACCAATTACATACAAGGTATTAGGAATACAAAGATGAGTAAGACATGGTCCCTGCTGCTGAAACACTGTCAACGGGGGGGGGGGGGGGGGGGGAACAGATCCATAAAAAGATCCTCATAGCAAGAAAATAAAGCCAGTGCAATTGGTAGGAGGCGTGGGAGTCAGGTAAAGAAAAGACTTTCAAAGCAGTAGTCGAGTTACATCACCTTGGCCTGAAGCGGCAGAACCTGTTTTTTAATCCATTTGCTCCCTCTAGACTTAACTCATCGGATGGGTGACATGAAGACCATGTCTGCAGTCGGGATGAATTGGAATGGGGGGGAAGGGGGGTAATGAAAGAGACTTCTCAAGAGAAAAATGAAATGAGGCTTCCAGACTGGGACTAAAGGGGAAAAAGGGATCTCTAAATTGGAAGAAGATTCAGGGATCATGCTTAAGAGAGAGATGCATAAGGTTTCACTGTAACTGTAATTCCAAATTCTGTGTAATCTACCTTTCAACAGGAGCCCGTGACACCAACTAGCTCCACAAAGACTGAGGAGATGGTGTGATCTACTCCATTCAGAATATCCAATTAGAACAAAGACGCGAAGTAAAGTAAGTGGTAGCCTCTATAAGGCTTTATATAAATTTTATAAGCACCCCCCCCAAATAAGTGTACCAAACGTGAAGTGAAATGACCTCAACAAGTCTGACTTGAAAGTGATAAAGGAGTAAGTTATTGCCAAAGAGATAAGTGAAAACACTGCAAAGGCACCGATAAACAGAAATCACCAAACTGAAGAGAAGCCGGGCATATACCCAGAGAGACCACGTTAGGGCACACCAAGAAAGAGACGGTTCAAGGGAATTACCAGGAGGCGATGAGCCAGGTAAGCAAACCGTGGCAGTTAAGGGGGTTTTCATAACCTGGGCAGGAGGGTCCAGACGTTTCTTTCTGGTGGTGGCACACTAGCGATATCACGTCTCAGGGAGATACCACAGAGTAAAAGAGTTGGAGAAATGTTTACGTGAGACGCAGAAGTAGTCGAGAAATATCACTCAGGTCTCAAGGAAGGCGGGAGGTGAAGCAGGTGTAACAGAAAGCTGAGCTTCCCGGTGAAAACAGCTTTCCCGTGAGAGAAGACCCTGCTCGGGCGGGAAAGCCCCGAAATCCCAACCGGCCTTTTTGCCCCCAGGAGGGCTGGGCGCCGAGATGGGGCCTGTGGTAACGACAAGGGAGACGGCCTCTCGCCGGCCCGGGAGAAAGAGGCCTGAAGGAACGGCCTCGGGAAGCCTAACTAACGGCCGCCGGCCACATTCCGGCCGGTGGATAGCCGGGGGGAGGGGAGGTGGTCCCAGGGGGCGGGGCAGAGGAAAAAGCGCCGTCCCCACAGCCCTCCCAGCTTCCGCCCAGCCCAACCCAGGCCGCTGGGCCCGGACCGGCACTGCCTCCCGGCCCAGGCTCCCTCCATCCTCACCCCTCCCCCAGCTTCCCGCCGCCACTCACCGAACCGGAACCGGCTGCTATGCGAAGGGGTTTCCGGCCGGGCGCGGAACGCAAAACCCGGGAACCGCCGCGAACCGGAACAGCCTCCACAACACCGGAAGAGCCGTCCGGTGGCTGTGGAGGGGCGGGGGTGGGGCGGGAGGTCAAAGAGCAGAGTTGAGGACTCGGGGGACGCCTGCGCAGTGTGTCCAGGCCTGAGAAGCCCGGGGACCATCTAAGGCTGAAGTCATAATTTCCCTGTTCCCCTTTCAGTTTGGGATTTTTTTCTCGTTCCCGTTCTAGTTCTCGGATTACTGTTAGTGTGCCCGTCGTCCTTCGCTTTTTCCTGTTCCCTCGATCCCCTTGCACGCCGTCTTCTGGTTCCGCTTGGCGATTTTTGCTCTCGCTCAGGTTTCCATGGCAGCTTTTTGCTGTGGCCGTCAATCGGAGGAAACTTGTGGCCACTTTGACGGATGTGGACCTGAGAGCTAACTCGAGCTCTATACCGTGTTTCATTGAGAATCACGGAACGTTAGTGCTTGTAGGAAATATTTTAATCTAACGGTTTCAGGGAAGTGAAGTCATTTCCCAAAGTTATAAAGTGCATGGGAGATCTGGGACTAGGAAACACGTTTCTTAATTTGCAGGCCTGTAGTCTTTGCACTACATCATGCTTGATTGGCCATTCGGGAGAAGAAAAAAAAAACCGTTTGGGATTAGTTTAAGTTAGATTCTGGAAACTTGTGGCACTTTACAGACCTCTGGAAGAGTTTGAAACATAGGGAGAGGTGTGAGGAAAGCTATTGGCGGTCCACCAAAGACCTACTTTTCCGAGTAAAAATAGAAAAGGATCCAGGAGTCTGCCCTCTGAAGAACTAAATGGCCCTGGTGTTGCTCCTGTGACTGAATGGATTAACATACAATCTGTGCTCTACTTAAAAAAAAAAAAAAAAAAAAAATGGAAGAAATACGTTTATTCATTCAGACTTTTTACAAAGTCCTTCAACTTGGCCTCTGGACTCAGGCCCTGTCTAGAAGTCTTGGAGAAATGCTTCCGAGTAGACCCTCTAGACCTCAGAAGTCTGAGCTCAGACTTTATTAAAAGAACGGGAGTCTCTGTAGGCCCCAGCCTCTTACCTACTCTGGAAAAAAGGAGATGCTTGCTGAATTCAGGAGATCTTGCCCTGTCAAATACATAAAAGTAGATTATTTGCATCACGTCACATGCTGATACTACATATTGTCATGTAGTATTGGGCATACCTGATCCGTATCAGTTTTGTCCATCTTAAATCATTCCATAGATCTGTTCATATGGCTTAAACTCCGTCTCTATTTCTAGGAGACAGCGATGCATAAGGAGGAATTTCATCTGAAATTTTTCATGTGTGTGATTCAATCTCGCGGGTTAGTCAGGACTCCTCAGAGCACAGGTACCATTGTCTCCTGATTATACACCAGTGACAAATGGGTTCTCTTGCAGGAATTTCGATACAGGATGTAAAACTTACTAGTCTAAATGTAGGCTTTAGGGGTCAACTGACTTTATTCCATCCCCACTATCATAAAATATTTGTCACTGAGTCATGTCTCTTCCTTGCACAAGTATCAGCTGAGATTTTCGTCTCATATGTGGAAATAGGCCCAGGCAGGTAAGGAGGACTTGGGAGTTAAGGAAGAACAAAATTTATAGCACATCACCTGGTAGTTGATTTCTCTGTCCTTTGTGAATTATTTTAACTTTTCTGGGCTCATCTGTGGGAGTCCTGGTTACAATTGTCATTGATACTCTAAAACCTATAAGATAGAGTCCCAAAGAAAAATGGCTTTCTATTACATCTCAGTCTCAAAGTATCTAGAGATATGTTCTGCTTTTCTCTCATTTATGTCAAAGGAGTAGAACCTTTTTAAGGTAAGATAATATTGAGAAAAGTCATCACTTCTCTAATTTTTCACTGAATTATGGAAAAAAGGCCCTGGACAGCTGAGAGTTACAGAGAAAATGAAGGAGAATAAGTAGCACTTCCTTCCCTGAATCCCACCTTGAGGATAACCTCAAGTAACCTAGAGATACTGCTTTTCAGGGACAGAAGCTTCAGCTTCCAGCATGCTCATACAAAAGCCACCACCTGAGATAGACAACATGAAGTATCTACATGCTACGGATGGTCCAGACACTGTGGAAGGCATACCTATTTTGAAAACTGGTGAGGCATGTAGTTAAACAAGGGGGTGGGGAGAGGTGGAAAGGAGTGTTGGAAAATGAAGTTTATGCATACATTATAAATTAGGATACAACTACCAAATTTGAAATATGAATTAAGACACAAGGGATAAATGTGTGTGTGTGTGTGTGTGTGTGTGTGTGGTGGAGGGGACATAGAGAAAGTAGGAGATCATCTGGGAAACTAGAAAGAGGGACAGTTCTCTCTATGAAGAACACCTTAATTTAGTCAATAGTAATTCAACTGGCTCATAACTGTAAGGCACTAATCTAGTTATACTATTATTAGCAACCTGGATATGTAAAAATGTGAAACTCAATGGATTATATAAAGGAGTTATTATATTGCAAAGTGATTCCAAATATTGTAAAAACTACTCACCTTAGGAATCCATTTAGTAACAAATTTCTGTTGTATATTTTAAATAGTGTTTAACTCACAATTTATATGAAACATTGGAAACACATCCCTAGGTTTCCTCTCAAATGAAATACATCTATATTGGAGTCAGTTCACTGCAAACATTGCATTCCCACATGTGCCCCAAAATAGACTAGAAATGATAGAGACATTGTACAAATTATACATATAAGACATAACCTTGTCATTTTTCTAATAGTTTACAGTTTGACAGATTATTTAGTCCAGATTATTTAGTCCAACTCCTTATATTTCAGGGAGAAATTCAAGTCTAAAGTGATCTTCCTCAAGAACTTAAATTCATTGGAATAATCACTCTCAGTACCTGTGAAATATATTGCAGCATTTATCCAATAATCTTTTGAGCAGTTACTATTCAA